TAAAAAGTGGCTTCACCTCCACTGCAGAGCCTTCAAACCCCTCCCCTCAAAAAAAAAAAGCCATGCTCACTGGCTTGGGAGGCAGACTTCAACCCCCAGCACCAAAACAACACAACCAAACAAAAATCAATGCAAAAATACTCCCTTCCCACTCCAAACTCACACTCCTTAAGATTAACACATTTCCCCAGAGTGATAACTCTATCATGGGTGATGGACAGGTGAAGAGGACTTATTACACCTGAGTGACTGCTTAAAGCTKCGAGTAAGGTGTGAGTGCAGGGACCGCTGCACCTGCGCCAAAGGGTGCAGACTCTGAGGGTCTGCTAGTCAGTCTCACTCAAGAGCTCCCTTTCCTTCTGCCAACCAATGCAGTGGTCCGAGGACAGGCAGAAGCCCAGGAGAGACCATAAACTACAGCAATCCACTCGCCKCGAGCAGCAGACTGGGGGTGGGAGGGGCGACTCCAGCATGGTAAATTAAGCACCCTGGGCTTGGTTCAGGAATGTGGCTTCCTCACGCTGCCAGCAAAATCCTTCAACAGGTTTAGGGGATGAAAACACCAAGACCTCGGTCTGAACAATGCCTCCCCGACCTGGGCTTCCCGCCAAGCAGAGGTGGGAGGGCACGGTGGCCGTCCTTTGTGACTTGAGACAGTTTCACAAACCCCTTGGGGTAGTGAGGATCCCTGGGTCCCGCTTGGGAACAGATGGCACCCTCTCATTCCTGCACTGGGGGCAAAATGCCCAGCACAAAGCACACCTTCCTTGGAGCCCCAAAGGCTCTGGGAGTGAACCTGAGTTTTGGAGCCCTCACTGCACAGGAAGGTGGCCTTGAGGACGACATGCAAGAGAATGTGGTTTTTTTGAAAAAGAAAAATCCTGCTTTCTCACCCAAGGGCCCAGAGCCAAAGGGAACTCYACCTCCCTCAAGAAAACAGTAATGTGCCTAACTGGAGATAGGAGCTCAACAGGTGACCCACCCGACTGCAGGCCTGTGGGCATTGGCATCCAGGGCTTCCACAGGACTCCTGGGAATGCACATTTTAGATGGAAAAATCTATTAGGAGGAGGGCACCAAAAGTCTCACAGCAAGAGGGCTTTGCTGCAACCCCCAAGCCCAAGCACACTTTAATCTTCCTAAAACGCCTCTTTGTAAGTTCCCTGCCAAGACAGCCACCTCACCAACACTATCAGGCCTCCCCTGAAGGTTTCTCACCCCACCTCCACCCAAGTGGGCAGGGGCTGGAAGTGCCTATGGCACAGCCTGGTCAAGTTTCTCTCTTGGCTCTGGGCAGAGCCCAGTCCCTTCCCCGGGCATGCAGGTCTCACAGTTCTCTGAAAAATGTGCCTCATTTCAAAGAGGCTCGGAATTTGATACCAAAAAAAAAAAAAAAAAGGCCACTTGAAGCACATTTTGAAAGTTCCACATTTAAAAAGATCCTTGTTCATTGATTTTGGTGGGGCACTTACGCTAATCTAAACAAGGGGACCTTGTTTAGGAGCCAGTGGGGGAGGTGCGGAACTCTGGCCCTCTGCAGACTCGTGCTCCTGGGGTCCTCTTACCCCCCCCCCATATGGCTGCTCTTCATCTGTGGTGCTTGTTCCTCTGCTGTACTGTCACTCAGCACAGCTAAAATGTTCCCTATCCCCTGGCCTAAAGTCAAAGCACCCTTCTAATGTGTTTCACTAAGTATACCTTAAACAGAACTATGATGTGATAAGAACATGGAAAACCACAGGAGGCAAGTGTGGAGCCACATCCTCGCCCATCCTTAACAGGAACACGGGCTTCCAGCACATTCCAGCTCCACAAATTACAGACACAGCTCTGCCAGGGGTGTTCCCAAGAAGGGCACTGGCAATTTGAGGTTGTCTGCCACCTACAGTGTTCACCAGTAGCCCTCACTCCATGCCAGGCCGTGGGGCTGTCAAACCACTCTTGCTAGCTACCCAAAGCTGGAATTCAGGGCCCTCAACATGAGCAAGAGAGGGCACAGGCAGAGGGCAATGCCACAATTGGAAAATGATAGCAGCAGCAGCCCCAACCCCAACGCTGCCCCTCGTCTGTCCTCATCTGTGTTCAGACAGCAGAGATGAAATCAATTCAACACCAGGCAACCTAAGCATCAGCTTGAACGCCTTCCCAAGCTTCTCTCCTCCAGCGGGCACGGGGGAGCTGCCACTGCCGCAGCCCTCTCCTCCCCTGCAGATCTGCAGGGCGGATGGAGGCGGGGATCTCCTGCTCCCTGAAGGGGGCAGACTCAGGTTTACAGGCCCCTCCCCCACTCCCTCTTCCCCAATCAGCAAAGTTAGGAGGGTGTTACAAGCTACAAGCCACCCTGGAGATCACCCAGTCCAATCTGACCTGCTTTCAGGAGGCAAAAAGGGCCAAAGCTGCAGTACACATGGAGGGAAGTGAACAACCCCCATGGCAGCGTCCCCACTCCCAGGGCCCCAGGACACRGGTTCCAGACAGATCCACCTCTGCACACCTAATATGCACTTCAAAGATGTCAAATGATCTACTTTCCTTTTCATAGGCATTCACAAAAACAATTAGACTGAATGGGACTGAAATCCTTGATTTCAGAACGACCCACTTCCCCAGCCTCTCMCCACAGCATCTGATTTCTTATCATGCCTGAATCCCCACCTGGAGCCAGGGGGCTTCAGGCCACAATTGCTGCCCTTCCCCATTCTCACACAGCCTTTGTAAAGTCTCCAGAGCACTCAGACTCCATTGGCTCTTTTAGTATGTTAATTCAGATCCACCAGAAAAGTGAGGAAATCATTCACRTTTGTTCAAGGCAGGTGGGTGTTCCTGGTGCTGATGGCCAACCATTCTCACACTTYTTAATAAGTAAAACAATCTTCCAGTTTCTCATTTTCTTACTCTTTCCTACTACGAGAAATAGCCGAGAAAGATTTCTACCTCATCCTACCTGTCTGCCACTGCAGGGAACAAAAGCACAGGACACAGTACTGGGGAGGTCCAGCAATGTTTTGCCCCATTAGTCATAGCCTCTGGACCTACGACAATCACTCAGCTTATACACCCTCCGGGGTCCCTAGGTGCTGGTCTAGAAAACAGCACCCAATAATAAGGAGGTACAAGCCTCCTTCTGCTGGAACTGGATGAGGTGCCAGATTGGGCAGAGGGCCAGTYCCAAGGGCTCAGTCTGTGGATCTGAAGCCACACTTCATCAGGGGCCCAAGGCTCCCTAGAAGACCAAGTGCCCCTTCCCACTCCTTGCTGGGTACACCTTCTAAAATCACTAGAGATAATTAACCAGCAAGCTGTGCTCCTCATATGAACATACCTTCCCAGGAAAAGCCCTCGCAGGACTGTGCTCCTGGGGAGCCCCTGAAGTAGCTCATTTTGGGGAGAATGGGTTAAACTCAAGGGCCAGAAAGAATAGGGGGTGCCAGTGAAAAAAGTGGGTGTTCTTAAGTCCAGAGATACGTGCAGGGGTCTCCACAACAGAGACTCTGAACCTGGAGCATGGACGCTCTGGCCCTTCTTCCAGGGACAAGGTCGGCCTCAGGAAATAAGGGCATCTAGAAGGGACAGTACCGATAACACACAGRGCAGAGCCGCAGCCCAAGGGGCAGGCTCCGAGCCCAGGCGGGACACTAGCATCGCTACAGGGGGCCGAGGAGCGTGGGTGCTGGGAAGAAGAGAGGGTTAGGGAAGGGGTGGGGGACATTTCTGTGGTGGGCACAGAAGCTGAACTCTCAGAAGTTGGGGGGCGCGGCAGGTGGGGAGTCTCACAAGAACGACAGGCGTCAGGCTCCTCTCTGGGCAAAGAACCGGAGCACTGGGGGTGACGGAGATGCTGATGGATGGAAGCGGCGGGTAGATCCAAAAGAGGGTGTACACTGCGGGGTGGGGGCCTGGGATGCTCGAGGAGGCTGCTGGGATGCGGTCGAGGAAGGGCAGGTGCAGTCGGGAAGGAAAGGGGCCAGGCGTGGGGGCGGGGCGTCGGGGGGCCAGCGCCAGGCCAGAGGGGTGCGGATGCCCCTCAGGAGAGGGAGTCGCAGGGCTGGGGCTGGGGGCGGCCACGAGTTCGCGGCCAGGACGCGCAGAAGAGGATGGGGGGTGCGGCAGGTGCCGGCGGCAGGTGCCAGGTGCGGCGGGGCCGGGCGGGCGGGCGCGGCCGCTCACCTGTCTTCTCCGGCCGGGGCCGCGGGGCGGCGGGGCGGCGGGCCGGCCGGGCAGGCGGCGGGCGTTCGGCGCGGGCCCCGGGCGCACTGAGGCGGCGGCGGGGCGTCCGGGAGGCGGCTGCGCCCTCGGCGGCCAGCCGGGGGATCCGTCAGTCAGCGACGCTGGCGCAGAGCGAGCGCTGCGAGGCTGCGGCCGGCGCGCGGGGACAACGCCGCTTTATCGGGTCGGAAACAGCCGCTCCGCGCCGCTTCCGCTGACGCAGCGCCGGCCTGCGCCTCATGACTATGCAGCGGCCGCGGGGGCGGGGCCTGCGCCGCGCGCGCCCATTGGCCGCCTCCGGCGCACGCGGCCCCGCCCTCCTYGGGGCCCCGCCCACGACCTGGAGCCCCGCCCCGCGGGCCTCCTCCGCGTGCGCCCCCAGCTGTGCCCCCTGTCCCCATGTCCAGGCTGCTGGATCCCTGATTCCCCTCCGCGACAAGAGCGTACTCCCTCCCCCTCGGTGGCCGCGGGACTGGGACCCCTGCGCGCGCCCCCTCCACTTTCCCACTCCCCYCGCCTTCCCCCATTTTCCTGCCATAGCCAAGGGGTCAGGGAGCGGAGTCACCATCTCCCCGCCCCCCAGCCACGAGCAAACACCGCCCTCTACCAGTACCGAGACGGGTCGGGCCCCCGCTGTAGGGGTTGCACCTCTTCCTGGGCAGCAAACATTCTCCTTGTAACTTGCCCCCATCCCCAACCCCACCCCTGCAAACTTTCTTCCTTGCTCAGGGCGCTGGCCAGTCCCCTACTGGGACGTCCATCCCACCCCTTCCTCATAGTCTACCCTCTACTACCTTCCTCCAGCCCTGGAGTACTGGGCAGGACGCAGGACTCAAGCCTCCTGTGGGCATGGCCTCCCGCTACAGGACTGACCTTTTGCGGGGCACCAGGGGCGGGGGTGAGGGGCAAAGATCAGGTACTCCCCACGTGTGGAATTTTCATCACCCCCAGGAGGGGACTGTTGGAAAGCCATCAAGACGAAGTTGGAAAGGCAGCTGGACAAATAAACAAAAAGAGAAAAGGATGGGCAAGGTGAGAGAGCCGTGTTTGCATCAGAGCTCTAAGCCTGTGCCAGGGTTTAAGAGGCTTTGGACAAATTACTTCACTCTCAAAGCTTTGGTGTCTTCATCTGAAAATAGAGATGGTAAAGATGCACGTTAACACTTTGGAAGGAATTTAGAAACAAAGTAGCCAATGGAGCCTGCAGAACAGCTAAAATGGGGAAAAAATGACAATACCAAGTGTTGACCTGGAAGCAGAGCAACTGGAACTCTCCTACATTTGCCTATGGGGATGCAAGGCACCCAGCTACCTTGGAAATCTGTTAGGAACCACTTGATTACCAAGCAGTGCCCCTCCTAGAAACACACCTAACTTGGTATTTCTGTTCATAGCAGCACTGTTTATGGTACACCCAAACTGGAATGCACCCTAATGCTCATCAATGATTAAAGGGATACATAAATTGTGGCATATTCACTCAGTGGAATGACAACAGTGAATAACCTATAACTACACACTTGATTCCATTGGATGGCTCTCACGAGTAATGTTGAGCAAAAGTCACATTGCTGGGCATGGTGCTGCTTACCTGTAATCCCAGCTACTTGGGAGACTGAGGCAGGAGGATCACACGATTGAAGCCAACCTTGGCAACTTAGTCAGACCTGTCTCAAAAAACAGAAAGGGTGGGGATATAGCTCAGTGCTTGCCTAATATGTGCTAGGCTCTGRATTCAGTCACCAGCATCCCTTCTCAAAAATGTCAGACATTTTTAAAAAATACAAGTTCCCATGTACATGGGGTAGATGTGTGGGTGGTGTTAGGAGTCAGGACAGTGGTTAGCGTCAAGACAGGGGTGCCAGGGCCAGGAGCAGGTGTGGAGAGTGCAGTGGGGGGCTGACGGTGTCCTGTCTGGATGCTGGTAACACAGTGTGCTCAGTTTGTGACAATTTCTCCAGCTGTGCAGTCAAGATGTGTATGCTCTTCCATGTGTGTGAAACACCTCCATGAAGGACAAGCAGGATGCCAGTGGTGTGTGCATARGCTTCAGAGCTGCACCTGACAGTTGTGGGTCTCATTGCTAAGTATCTGCCTTCCCTGTTGATTTTAACTCTGGTGGCCAGAGGCAATTCCAGCTGTGCTGCATGCCAACTGTGTGACTTGGGAGCCTTCCTGAACCTCCCTGAGTCCTCATCTGGATGTGAGCATTCTAATAATACCTAATTCACGGTTGTCACAAGGCTTTAATAAAATAATGAAAAAAAAAAMCATGCTTTTTAAAAAGACAGTAAGGAGCACCAAGTAATGATTTAGTAACTTTATGTATTCACTGGTTACTGCATTTGTTGAACCTTTTCCATTTTCATTCAGCAGCAAGCAACTGTGTCAGCATGTGCCTACTATGTCCACACGCTTCCTGGATTTGGGCACTGGAGCTTGCAACACAATTGGTCATTCTCCTTAAGAAACCCATAAGGGAGTCAGAAACTCATGTAGTGGGGGAGTGGCTAACTAGCTGCAGACATGGAGCCCAGTGTAGGATATGACTTGCAGTGGGTGCTTTAGAAATATTTCTTGAAGAATAAATGAATGCATGAAAGTGTGTGTAGAAGTTTTCATGAAGACAGAATTTGGAAAATGCTTTCTAAGGCTGGATGAGGAAACATCCWGTTAATTTACTTCTGTAATTTGGAGTTAGACACAAAGATGAGACAAAGTAGGGTTAGGGAAAAACATGTCGCCACACTTGCATGTGTCCTGCACACATGTGTATGCATGCACATGCAAGAGGACAAGGGCAGGGCCACCCTGACAGCACTCTGTCACAGCCTGGCTAGTGAGGGCCTCATCCCAGCTGCTGCCTCCAAGAAGTGCAGTAAGATGTATCTGTGTCCGTGGCTCTGCTGTCCATTTGTATGTGGAAGCCTGGAAATGAGGTCCTCTCCTGTGAGGAGCGAGCTTGGCACAGAGCGGGCCTCTTGCCCAGGAGTCAAAAAGACCTGGATCTGGCCTGGCCCCAGAGCTGGGCAAGCATGGCCACTACCTGTCCTAGCATGCACCTGTGTACTCACATGGGCTTGCTCAGAAGAGTTCCATGCCTCAGTTCCAAGGGCTGTCACTGTCTTCAAATGCTCARCAGTCTAACAAGCACCCCCACAAACTATGAAGCAGATCCTGCATCCTTGTTTGTAAAGCACACTGACCTCCCTGGTGCTTGGGAGGCACCTGGGCATGACGACTCCATCACTGTCTGAGTCTGTGACTTCATCTCCCACCTCACCTGTAGACTCCTGAGCAGCTCTGTGTTCCTCTCATACCTAGCCCTGTGTGCACACACCATCCCCCGACATGGGTGTCATCCTGCAGATAAAGAAGCTGGGACACAAGAGGCTGTTACCTGCAGCTGCACAGCTGGTAGGTGACAAGCCAGGATTCACAGCTGGGGTGCCTTTGGTCAGGTGCAGGGTGAACAGTATGATGATGAAGGAAGGATGCCCATCTTGTCATCCCTGGACATTATTTCTTTCCTGTTCATCTCTGAATGAAGTGTGGCACTTTGCACTCCACATCCTCCTGCAGTGACCTATCCCAGCTGACTGCAGGTTGGTGGTCATGTGTGAGTGGCTCATAGCTCAGTGTTGGGAGACTCCCGCCTCTGGGTCTTGTGGCAAATCCCCTGGGCAACAGTAGAGGCAGAAGGTATTCTGCAGAACAGATAAAGTGTGCAGGAGAGGAGAGGGAACACTCATTCACATTTACCCATCCCCTGTCCTCAGTCCTCTGCATGCACCAGAAGTAAAGTCCCATTTCCCAGACAAGGAAACTGAGGCTCAGGGAGCAATGCCAGTCTTTCTGCTTGTAGGAAGACTTCAAGCTAAAGGGCGGGAATGGGGCTCCAGAGTGCAGGCTGGAGGGCTGGTGAGATGGCAGGTCTCCGTGTAGTTGACTGGGCGAGGAGTTCTGCATTCTTCCTCCTGGCTCCTTGCCTGGTCACACCAGGGGACCGACTGCCCATGCCACCCTTCTGAGCCCAGCTCTGGACCTTTGCACCTGACWTTTCCTCTTCTGGGAGTGTCCTTGTTCCTCTCCTGCCTTGGAAGTGTCTGATAAGCAATAACCTTGGACTTCCCCGCTYCTGGAAAGGGCAGGGGCGGTATGTGTTGAAGCCCTCCTACACCAGGTGGCTCAAGCTTTATGTGCATACACTCATCAACCCAGGCCCTTCCAAACCTTGCTGGATCCTCCAGAGACTGCAGCCTACACAGTGAAGGGACAGTGGCCAGAAAGGGAAGATACTGAGGTAGTGTTCCAGCTGGACACTGGTCAACACCTCTTCTACTAATTTATAAATCTTTTTTAAAAATATATATTTTTAGTTGTAGGTAGACACAATACCTTTATTTTATTTTTATGTGGTGCTGAGGATGGAACCCAGGGCCTCATGCGTGCCAGGTGAGTGCTCTACAGCTGAGCCACAACCCCAGCCCCCAAACCAGTTTTTTAAGCAAAAAAAAAAAAAAAACAACAACAACAACAACAAAAACCACTTCTAACTGGGAAAGCCCAATGCCAGTTATCATGCTTATTTATGCAGGCTTTTCTGAGCACCTTGCTTTCCAGGCTGCTGTGGGTGCCCTCACAGTGTCCTTCCTTCCTGTTCCTTACCCTCTAAAAGAGCCTTAAGCATGGCTGGGAGAGTGGAGACCCCAAGACTCTTCCCCTTCCTGCTGTGTGACCTGGGGTACCTGGTGGCCATGAGTAAGAGGGACAGGATGTGACCTCCACAGAGGGAGGGGGTTGACTCCTTAAGAGATTTCCAGCAAGGCCAAGCCCCCCAGTCATCCAAATGGGACCTGAGACATACTTGCCCAGGTGTCCTGGGCAGTGAGGGGCTTCAGAGGGGCCCCCAGGTAGAGGCGCGAGTCCGCATCAGGACTTCCAGGTGCTCTAATTGGCTCTAGAGCTTCCTAGAGTCCTAAGACTTCTATGTCCAATGGCTTCTCAGGGTCATCTAGCCTCCCAAGGTCATGTGGCCACTTAGGGACCATATAGCTTGCCATGGTCATAGGTTTGGGGGTCATGTGGCTACCTGGAGTCATACAACTGCCTAGGCTTACACTACGACAGGAGCTATTTGGTTACCTGGTCTAACAGTGACCCAAGGTCCTCTGGCTTCCCAGGTCTCGTGGATGCCTGGGGTGATGTGGCTCCCTATGCAGGTGGGTGTTGTTGCAAGTTCAGGAGGCTCCACGTCCTAGGTGGCCCCCATCTGTCCCTGAGCCTCCGTCTCCACACGTGTGAGGTGGGCAGAATCTGTTTCCAGAGCGTGGAGAAGGGCCCAGAGGCAGATCAATAAATGGCCACAGTGCTGGGAAGGGGCAGTTGTCCAGAACAGGCAGCAGCCATCAGTGGCTCCCAGGAGAGACGGGGGCAGGTTTCCACCAGAGGATAACAAGGCATGCAGGGGATCCCTCAGGCCAACAGAGCGAGGGCGCAGGGCCTGGGATGGGGGGCAGGGCATGTGGGAGGGGAGCTAGGAGAGGCTGGCCTGAGTTGGCAGCGGTGCTCTGCCTATCTGGGTAATGGTTCAAATCCCACAGTTAAACATGTACCACCAACAAGCAGAACAATGGAACAGGGCATCAGTTTTGTCCAGTTGGAGAAGCCTCAGAATCAGGCCGTTTTCCTGAGGGTAAGGGAGCTTTGAAGGGCTTCCGGAGGCCAGAGAGGCTGTGGGGAGGCCGGTGGGTAAGGTGTGGTCGGGGCGCAGCACAGGGCTGCCACGGGCCCTGGTGCGACTCTCACGCTGCACGAAGGAACGATTACAGGCTGCCTCTGTGCTCCCTAAAGATTGCCT